CCAGTTTTGGCAAAGATATGGCACAGTAAGCACTGGCTAATGTGGCTGTGAGCCTAAAGTGGCCCGCATATGATGTCACAAATGTGGCCCAGTTATCCTCAAACATATCTGGACCAGTTTTGGCACACAGTAAGCACAGTAAGCACTGGCTAATGTGGCTGTTAGTCTAAAGTTGCACTTATATGATGCCACAAATTTATCCTAAAGGCAAAGATATGGCACGGTAAGCACTGGCTAATATGGCTGTGAGCCTAAAGTGGCCTGCATATGATGTCACAAATATGGCCCAGTTATCCTCAAACGTATCTGGGACAGTTTTGCAAAGATATGGCATGGTAAGCACTGCCCAGATAGCAAAATTCCTGAGGTCCAGATCAGGCCCACACCTGCATCTGGCATCTGGCCCACATACCGCGTGGAATGATGGCAATTGGGTGGTCTGCTCCTGTTTGCCAGATTTGGGCCACAAGCAAGCCAAAAGAAGGCCCAATGTCAGCCATGGATTAACCAAATAAAGCAGAACTGGCCCAAATCTGGGCCACATTTATTTTAATTCTGGCCCAGATCCAACACCTTGCTCCGGCCCACATACTGTGAAGAATGATGGCATTTGGGCGGTCCGCTCCTGTTTGCCAGATTTGGGCCACGAGCAAGCCAAAAGAAGGCCCAATGTCAGCCATGGATTAACCAAATAAAGCAGAACTGGCCCAAATCTGGGCCACATTTATTTTAATTCTGGCCCAGATATGGCCCAGATGTAACACCTTGTTCTGGCCCAAATACTATGTAGAATGATGGCATTTGTGTGGTCCATTCCTGTTTGCCAAATTTGGGCCACAAGCAAGCCATAGGAAGGCCGCATATTAGCCATGACAATAAATAAATAAAATAAAGTAGAACTGGCCCAAATCTGGGCCACATTTATTTTAATTTTGGCCCAGATCCAACACCTTGCTCCGGCCCACATACTGCGTGGAATAATGGCATTTGGGCAGTCCAGTTCTGTTTGCCAGATTTGGTCCTCAAGTAAGCCTTAGCATTGCTGCATGTAAGCCAACCAAATAAACCAAAACTGGCCCTAATGTGGGCCACAGTTGATTTTTATTCTAACCCTGGTCTTCCCCACATTCCTTTTGTCGCCCACATGCTGCATGGACCGGTGGCATTTTGACAGTGGTCCACAAGCAGGCCACTACACAGCCACATTTTAGCTAATAATGAACAAAATAAACCATAAATATACATTATCTGGGCCACACTAAGCCTTAAGTGAGTTATGCATCAACAATACTCAACATTGTAAAGAGAAATTTAAAAATGTCCTCCATAAATGTTCAAGTAAGTTCCAGAAATGTGCCCTACTTGATAAAATCATCCTGGCACAAGTTTTGCTCAAGCAGCAATTAAATTGTCACAGATAAATATTCAAAGACACATTCCGGTACTTTAAAAACTGTTCTTCACAAGTTTGAACTTAAATGCTTCTCACTCAGACTCTACCTACACAGTAAGTCTGTGAGTGTCATAGCTACACTGTGTTAAAGAGCGCACAACAAAGATGAAAGGTTATATATCATAATCTTTAATCCAACAAGGGTAAATCCAAACACAATGCAGCACATTGTGTTCAACATAAGAAAGCAACTCCTACAGGTTTGGAACGACATGAGGGTGAGTAAATGATGACAGAATTTTCATTTTTGGGTGAACTATCCCTTTAAGGCTGTATGAGGCCCTCCTTTTGAGCTGCTCAAAACGACCAATAAATATTATAAAATATATCAATTTTATATGAAGAAATATTATCTGAACAGTTTAATTTTTATATTTATTTACATCTGGCTCACAATTTTGGCAATTTTTTTATTTTATTTTGAAAAGCAGGCTTATACTTACTAAACATTTAGTAATACTTCTCACTACAAAACCTGTGCCTCTAATGTTTTATAAATAGTACTTCGATAATAAATGTACCCAATTCAAATGAATGCATCAAAATGTTTATACTTTCTACTGTTTTCTCAAGTTGCACATGTTTTTTCCTTTCACATTTATTTTTTTTTTTTTAAGATTTTCTGAAAACTTTTTTTAAATAAACATTTTTACTTTAATTTTAGACTTGATAGAAGAGAACAAGGAGATTGAAGAACTGATTAAAGAGGGGGAGAACCATCATGTCAAAACTGAAGAAACACCCTGGAGATCCTCATTGATAAGAAGAGATAAAACATGGCCTGAGTGTGAACAGAAAGCAGTTAAAAGCAGTAAAACATTTTTTAGACCACATTTCCTGAAGGACCGCCTGAAAGTTCATACAAAGGACAAGCCTTATGTATGTTATTTATGTGGAAAGAGTTTTAGTCACATGACTGCTTTAAAGATACACCAGAAAAGACACAGCGGTGTGAAGGATCATGCTTGCTCTGAGTGTGGGAAGACTTTTTTTACATATGGTGCGATGAAAGTGCACCAGACAGTTCACACTACAGAAACACCTTACAAGTGTTCACACTGTGACAAGAGATTCAAACGGTCAGAATATCTGAGAATACATGAGAGGATCCACACTGGAGAGAAGCCGTATACATGTGATCAATGTGGAAAGAGCTTCAGACTAAAAGAAATGCTTAATCAACACATGAATATCCACAATGGAGAGAAGCCGTACACATGTGATCAATGTGGAAAGAATTTCACACAAAAAGGAAACCTTATCAAACACATGAAAAGACACACTGAAGAGAAGCAACACACATGTGATCAGTGTGGGAAAACTTTTGTGCATAAAGGAAACCTTAAAGACCACATGAGAATCCACACTGGAGAGAATCTACATACATGTGATCAGTGTGGGAAAACGTTTGTGTTTAAAGGAAACCTTAAAGACCACATGAATATCCACACCGGAGAGAAGCCATACACATGTGATCAGTGTGGGAAGAGTTTCAGACAAAAAGGAGCCCTTAATGTACACATGAGGATTCACACTGGAGAGAAGCCATACACATGTGATCAGTGTAGGAAGAGTTTCAGACTTAAGCAAACTCTTAACGAACACATGATGATCCACACTGGAGAGAAGCCGTACACATGTAATCAGTGTGGGAAGAGTTTCACACAAAAACAAGCCCTTGATGTACACATGAGGATCCACACTGGTGAGAAGCCATACACATGTGATCAGTGTGGAAAGAGTTTCTCACAAAAAGGAGCCCTTGATGCACACATGAGGATCCACACTGGAGAGAAGCCGTACACATGTGATCAGTGTGGAAAGAGTTTCTCACAAAAAGGAGCCCTTGATGCACACATGAGGATCCACACTGGAGAGAAGCCGTACACATGTAATCAGTGTGGAAAGAGTTTCAGACTTAAGCAAACCCATAATGAACACATGAGGATCCACACTGGAGAGAAGCCATACACATGTAATCAGTGTGGAAAGAGTTTCAGAAAATGTGATGTTTTTAAAAAACATCTGCTTACTCATTCTAGAGAGAGACTAGAAAACTGTGGCCAAAGCAGTAGAACATTTCTAAAGGACCATCTGAAAGCTCATACAAAGAAGAAGCCTTACATATGTTATTTATGCGGAAAGAGTTTTAGTCAGATGGCTGCATTAAAGATACACCAGAAAAGACACATCGGTGTGAAGGATCATGCTTGCTCTAAGTGTGGGAAGACTTTTTTTACATATGGTGCGAGTATGTAATTTATGCGGAAAGAGTTTTATTCAGATGGGTACATTAAAAAGACACCAGAAAAGACACAGCGGTGTGAAGGATCATGCTTGCCCTGAATGTGGGAAGACTTTTTTTACAGATGGTGCACTGAAAGTGCACCAGACAGTTCACACTACAGAAACGCCTTACAAGTGTTCACACTGTGACAAGAGATTCAAACGGTCAGACTACCTGAGAATACATGAGAGGATCCACACTGGAGAGAAGCCATATACATGTGATCAATGTGGGAAGAGCTTCAGACTAAAAGAAATGCTTAATCGACACATGGATATCCACAATGGAGAGAAGCCGCACACATGTGATCAATGTGGAAAAAATTTCAGACAAAAAAGAAACCTTATCAAACACATGAAAAGACACACTGAAGAGAAGCAACACACATGTGATCAGTGTGGGAAAACTTTTGTGCATAAAGGAAACCTTAAAGACCACATGAGAATCCACACTGGAGAGAATCTACATACATGTGATCAGTGTGGGAAAACGTTTGTGTTTAAAGGAAACCTTAAAGACCACATGAATATCCACACCGGAGAGAAGCCATACACATGTGATCAGTGTGGGAGGAGTTTCACACAAAGAG